ATGTATGTTGTTTTTCTCTTACCTGTGCAATCAGAAGTCTAACAATACATTTTATCTCTCCCCCCNTTTCCCCCCCCCCCCCCCCCGGAGAGTATTTATAAAATAGCCTGTATCAAACTGCAGTCAAAAGAGAAATGTAATCATCTTTTGAAAAAATGCTAATCTGAGATTAAATCTAATGAGTTTAAAGAGTCTCTTTTTAAAGTAAACATAAGGTTTAAGATATAAAACAAGATAGGAAACATTTGTCCCACAATATCTGATGTGATGGATTAGAATTTTTAGAGTCCCTTGTCATTGACTATGCTGAGTGGAACTGATGGGAACTGGCAGGCCAAAAGGGCAAAGGCTTCTCATGCTTGTTCTACAAAATTTAAGTATTAGCTATGCTTAAGTTATTAGATCTTGAGTGATTCTGCCAAGATATACACATCTTTAAACATTTGCATCTGACTACTTTGCTTATGAACTTAAATTAGGAAAAAACAGCTTATCACAGCTTCTTGTTACATCACTATCAGGAAACTGATTAATGGTTTACGAGCAATAATGTACTTATTTGTTTATTTAAAATATCTATATGCTGCCTTTCTCCTAAAGAGAATATAAGGCTAGCTCTATTAATGCATCAGGGGTCTGTTTGGTGTAACTTGCACTCCTTCTAGGGCTGAGAGAGCAGGCAGGCCAGAAGGGATTAAGTGATTTTTCATCATGCTTTAATATTTGTTTTTTGTTTTTCAAATCGAGATAGTGCTAGATCAGTGTTACACATAGAGAAAAAAAAATACAGATTGGATAGTAAAGTTACCCTGCAGCCTGGGGATCTGTGATCTTGGCATCCAATTCTATATTTGACAAACTCCACAGACACAGTTTGCTCTGACACAGGTGAGCATACATGCAAAAATGATTCAGAATTAACCAGATTCGTAATTGAGTTAAAATAGTGTTTTTTTTTAAAAAAAACTTGCTTTCTGAACAAAACCCTACACTGTCTGACCAAAAAATGTGCACTCAGCTAATCAATTTCAAGTGTGCTAAACCTGATGCAAACTCCATCAAAAGAATTCAAGTCTCATTTTTGGAATATGTTCTGGATGCCTCCAAATGTATACCTGTCTTAATCTTTATTTATTTAAAATATTTTAGCCCACCTTTCTAATCAAAGAGGACCCATGGCAACTTTCATAATTAAAAAGACAATGTTTAAAAGCTAAAAACAGTAAGTACAGTGATGCCTTGCTTAGCGATTGCTTCGTTTAACGATTAAATCGCTTAGCGATGACTTTCGGAGCGATCTTGCGCTCCGTTTAACGATGGTTCCTATGGGCGATTTTTGCATAGCGATGTTTGGGACCATGCTTCGCATAGCAATGACAGTTTGGGTCCCCCTGTTTCGCTTAACGATGGTTTTGACAGCCTCATGTTGGCTGTTTTTTAAATGTTTAAAAATGTTTAAAAAATATTTAGAATGCTTGAAATCATAAGTGCACTTAATAAACCCTTTGTTAAACTAATTTGACTTTGTTCTGACTCTTTTTAAATTTGTTGTAATTTTTTCCCCCATTGAGATGCATTGAATAGGTTTCAATGCATTTCAATTGGGGAACCGTGTTTCGCTTAGCGATGTTTCCTATGGCGATTTTCGCTTAAGGATGGCAATTCGTTCCCAATGGAACTGATTATCCGGTTTTCAATGCATTTCTATGGGAAACCGTGTTTCGCTTAGTGATGAAATCGCTTAACAGCAATTTTTTGGGAACCAATTATCATCGTTAAGCAAGGCACCACTGTATATAGACATTTTAAAAAGAATTAAGCAAATATTACATTCAAAGCAGTAAATAAAATCAATACTAAAACACTTTTTAAGGCAGCAAGGCACAACAATCCATTTAAAAAATCCCTCTCAGACAGACAGTCCCTAAGGGAAAGTCTGCCTGAAGAGAAAGATCTTCATCTGCTTGTGGAGGGACAGCAAATTAGGGTTAGCCTGCCCTTTTATAGGAGGAAGTTCCAGAATCTGGAAGCAGTGACAGAGAAGGCCCTCTCCTGTGTATCCATCAGACTCACCTAATGACGGCAGATACATTCCTTGAGATAGCTTGGACCCAAGCTATTTAGGACTTTATAAGTTAAACACAGCACTCTGAATTGTGCCTGAAAATGGATTGGCAGCCAGTCAGCTACCATCTGCTTTTGCTCGCTGCTTTTGCTCACTAACAATTCATGCTGTTTTCTTCTGAAATACTTGTCATGATGATGTGGATTCTTATGTTTGTCTAACACTTAGTAATCCGTATATCTCTTATTGAAGAAAAGCTATGACTCAAAATATTTCTCTACTTGGCTTCTGCACAGAAGAGCTATGCAGGCATAATGTTATACTTGTGAAGTCTTTGATGAAGCAGAAGATCCAAGATTCTAATAGCCAGAATTTGTTAGCAACATCCAATAGATTATGTTCCCCTGCAACATTATGTAAATAACCATCCCACCTAGTAATTTATGTGCTCTCTACTTGAGTAAATTGTCAGTGCCTACCTATTGAAGACACTTCTTTCTAACAAGGGTTAATGCTGTACTCTCTGAAGCACTGGAAGGGCAATTCAGTGGCATAACCTGTGTTCAGAGGTTATGTCAATGTAGCACTGGAACTGTTGAGATGATAGCACATATGCTTCTGTACTGTAATTTTTACACATGCCTGAGGAACAGAACGTTGTATCTCATACAGTGGTGCCTCACAAGATTATTTTAATTCGTTCCACGAAAATCATCGTGTTGTGAAAAAATTGTCTTGTGAGGCTCCCTATGCATCTGTCTCAAAAAACCCACAAAAAACAAAAAAACACCAATTTGCGAAGCATCGGTGTAAAAAAAAGTCTTGCAAAGCATCGGTATAAAAAAAAAGTCTTGCAAAGCACAGTCATAGAAAAAAAGTCTTGCGAGGCACCATAGTGATTGCAAAAAACAATTGTCTTGCATGTTTTTCGTCCCGTGAGGCAATCGTCTAGCAAGGCACCACTGTAATTTGATGCTTCTATGCAGGATTGATACTAATCTACTAAAAGTATGTCAAAATACAAACAGTCTTTTTAGCGTTAGTGTTGCTAAAATCTTAAATATTGTGATTGACACTAGGGCCAAATGCTGGAAGATCTTTAGCCATCTAACAATCTAATTATTTAACAATTTTGTATTTTTTTCTTTTTGTTAAATATTTGTATGATCAATAGACAAGTAAACACTCTGTGTTGCGTGTGTGATATGTGTACAAGAAAACCAGGATTTGATTTCAACTTTAATACAGTGGGGTCTCTACTTAAGAACGTCCCTACTTAAGAACAATCCAACTTAAGAACAGCTCCATTTGCTAAATTTTGCTTCTACTTGAGAACAGAAATCCAAGATAAGAACAGGAAAAAAACCTTTCCTGCTCTTTTTTTAACCTTAGGTCATCTTAGGTTAAAAAAAATTCTCCCCCTAGTGGTAGAGTCCGTATTAACCAGCTTTGCATTAGTTCCTATGGGAACTAGTGCTTCAATGTACGAACGCTCCTCTGCATAACAAAAAAACAGCCAGAACGGATTAATTGGTTTTCAGTCCATTCCTATCGGAAATTTTGCTTCAACTTAAGAACGTTTCAACTTAAGAACACCATTCCAAAACAGATTAAGTTCTTAAGTAGAGGTTCCACTGTAGTTTCTATGGACGGAAAAGAGCAGATACGGATTAAATGGTTTTCAATGCATTCCTATGGGAAATGCAGATTCAACATAAGAACTTTTCAACTTGAGAACCACCTTCCAATACGGATTAAGTTCTTAAGTAGAGACCCCACTGTAATGGCTTCATACTGTAAGTTGTTTGGCAGCTGCTAAATAATAACCAAAATCTTAATGAGTTATTATGTCAGTATAACAGATAGAGTAAATCTTGATGGTGAATTGTCACAAGTTAAGAAGTTGGTGTATGACCTGTTGTTCTGTGTCAAGTTACATGATTCGTAGACATAGCAAATACCTATGCTAACTTCTTAACTTGAAGGAATTTGTCACTGAGATGTATGCCAATTGCATTATGATTATGGGTCTAACTAATTGAGTTCTGCCCCTAGTTTTCTTATTCAGATGAAGCAGAAGTTATATTTCTTTACTTGTTTGCCCATTCATGTGAAACAGTTACATACAGTTGCAGGATGCCTATTTGTATCTTGGATTACTGAGTTTCTCCGAAAATAAGACAGGGTCTTATATTAATTTTTGCTCCAAAAATGCATTAGGGCTTATTTTCAGAGTATGTTTTATTTTTTCATGTACAACAATGTACATTTATTCAAATACAGTCATGTCATCTCCTGGTTGCTGCATAGTGAGTCCCTGGTGGAGGGGTGGTGTTTTACTTAACTGGGGCTTATTTTTGGGGTATGGTTTATATTACGAGCACCCTGAAAAATCATAATAGGACTTATTTTCAGGTTAAGTCTTATTTTCTGGGAAACGATATTAAGGGAAGATTTTACTTGTTTCAATTTGGCCATTGTACAGCACTATACACTGCTATAAAAATAGTTGTGTATACTTGCCAGTGACACCTTCACACAATTCAGATATTTAAGAAACACATCCTGTAAAATCGTACTTGGGGGTGGGAGATGAGCAAAAGGAAACTTTTCAAGGAAGGAAATGCTTGTGCAATGGGTTTCTAAAACTTCTGGCAAATTTATATGGAAAATTATTTCAAAGAAGAGTAGGATTTGTTAGCAGTTTACAGTTTATGCGTATATAGACAGTATCAATTTTATAAATATATTTTAGCAATTGTTTTGCTAATCTCATTTTTATTACAAGGCACCAAGGGTTTGAGAGCTGGAAAAAACAGATATCTAGCCTTTGGGTACTTCATGTGCTTTTAAGCTGAATTAAAGAAGTCTATAGGACTGGATAAATATTTTCATATATTTTGATGCTGAAAGTATTTTTTTTCTAATGCTCTAGACACAGGATTCCCAAGCTTCCAGACTGTTGTGTGAGACTTTTGATCAGGTATGATTTTAAAAAAGAGAGCTTAAAATAAACAAAAGTTATAATAAATTACAGTAAACCAAAAAGTGTACTTACTTCTATGCCCAAAATTGCTTTGAAATTTCTTTTTCTGAAAGACATATTTTGAATGCACACAGTCACATTATGTTTTTACAGCATTGTAGAAATATTTGAAATTAGTAATTATGTGTTTTACTACCATTTATAGATCAAATAATTTTTCATGGTTCTCAGTTAATTCACATTTATTCTTAGCAATAATTCTTATAAACTTTTTCCCATATAGAGCTGGGGGGGGGAGGCCCAAAAAACTTTTTGAAATGATGGGCCAGACTACAGATTTTACCACCTACTATTGTCTGTTAAAAAATTTAAACACACTTTATATTAGTTAAACTATAACTTTGTCTCCTTACAGGTAAAAAAAATCAAATGCAGTATATACTATAAATCTACTGTGAAGTAAAATTGCCAGTAATAGATCTGGACGTTAAGCTGATAAATAGTCAGGAATATGGCTACTGATAATATTTATGAATGTTGCACAGTTAGTGAAGTGGAGAAACCAGGTGATGGTTTAGAATCAAAGGATGTGCATGCCAAAGCATACGTCCCCCACCATTAGTTTCACACCTTAGGTTGGAAATGCTTCTTCAATCTTAAACATTCTCTCTCTTCCTTTGTAAACGTTTATAATATCCAGCCTGAACTAGGGAGGTAGTGGAATAGTGACACAAGATTCAAACCAATCTTGATTGTCCCTCTGAGGGAGCAGCTGCATAGGCAAATAATCTAGGAATTATTCTGGGATTGGGACAGTCAGATTTATATTATTTTCCATTTACTATATGACATACATTCAAATGAGTCTAGAATTTTCCCCACAATCTGAATTTTTCCCTCCACTGCTGAGACTTCTGCTTTTTTGCCCCAGTGAGTTCATTTGCCTCTGTCCAGGCAATGAAGTCACTTTTGCCAGTGCAGCAAAGCATGCGTAGGTGTGGTAGTGATTGGTGGGATGGGAAGGAAGCAAAGAGGCACTCATAGGTTTTAGTTTCCTGCAGTTTCTTTTCTTTTTTAAAAAAGGCTTGGTGCCAGGCTGCAATCAGTAGGCACTTAGGAGACAGAAAGCAAGGGGGAAAGAAAGAGATGAGAAATTGCTAATCAGTACTTAATGTAGCTCTGCTGTAGCCATGCATTCTGCAGACGTGGATGGCTCAGGCAGAAGCTGCCTTAAAAACTGCAAACAAAGGCTAACTTCCTTCACTCTCTCTCTCTCTCTCTCTGTTGCCTCCTGTGTGGTGAGTTAAAGCAAATTTACCTGGGGAAACTTGATTTCCTGAGTACGAATTAGCAGTGGATCAATTTGTATTTTTCCTGCTGTGTAGTCGCTACTTCAGATAAACTATTCAGTGCTTAATCAGGCCAGTTTTCCCCTGTATCTCCCCTTCCACTTGTTTTGGTTTCTTCCAAACCCCAGTGTCACTTTCAACAACCTATGCTTTGTGAAGGGCAAAGAATATGCTGAATGTTTCTTTTTCAGAAAAAAGTGTATTTTTAATTGATTCCCAGAGAATTTTCTGAGTATACAATACCTATTATCTTGTCTTCAGATGGCTTTGTTTTGTTAATTAGCTGATGGACATGGGACCATTAAATCTGGTACTACAAAAATGTTACAATAAATGGGGAACCCTTAAAATGCTATGGCATAAATCTATCTGGTCATGTAGTATGATGGAAGATATTGTGGCATAAGAGGTGTTTCAAGAATGATGAAAGCAAAAGAGATATAATCCTCCCTGTCTTTCTTTCTTGTGCTGTGTGGTGCTAAATGGCTGAATTGTGTCACTTACACAGTTGGATGGAAGGAAATTTCTGGAAAATGGGAAATAAAGACAATCTTCTTTCTCTTGTGGAACCTCCCTATCTGATACAAAGAGGAAAGTTCTTTAATCTCACTCTGTCTATCCTTGCTTCTGTATCCTCTCTCCTGGAGGTCATAAACTAAGCAGCTATTCCTCCTTTTTTCATTTGATACACTTGATATTTCATGGGGGGTTTTTTTTTGATTGAATGTAGATTATTGGATCATTTATATCAAACTTTAATTTTATTTTCATTGACAAACAAATGTATGTGCATCTGGGAATCTCCTGAATATGCACAAACTATTATCTTGTTTGGATGACCCAGTTTTGCTGCCACACCACACCACACAAATTCTATGTGAGAAGAGTTAATGTTGGCTTGTTTACTATAAATCAAGATGGTATTTATCTGTGTTCTTTTCCTCTTATTTCTAGAATTCACCTTCGGTGAGTTATGAAATATTTTCAGAATGCTCCTTCAGCCTGATCTTCCTTTAATATATTATGATGCTGGCTATTATGTAACTGTTAAAGATTGTCATCTTTAATTCCCCTTCTGTTTCTCCCTTCTCCTCTCGCAGTACTTTTCACGCTCCACTGCTGAAGTAGGCAGTTTGCCAGGAAACTGTAACTCTTAGAGCAGCATAGAAAGTTAAGGTTAAAACATACTGTTATACCTAGAGAAACTGTATTCTGAATATAGTTGTATAGAACAGTGATACCCAGTGGCTTATTAAATTAGCCATAGATCTATGTTCTGTAGTAACATTTAAAGAATAATGTAGCATCGTCAGTTTTGTTTCAAGCATAGCACTGTACTAAAGTCTAAAACTGAAGCAAAACTGTGTATATATATGAGAATAGACTGCATGCAAGAGATTAGGTAATGCAATTAGGCAAGTCACTGAATTGGACGGCTGCAAATTTTGCAAGAGGAGCATCTGAGTGAGATGAGGTAAGAATGCTAGTGCTGGAATACGATAGTTTGACCTTGGATGTTAATGGTTAGCTGTTCAAATTTTCACATTTATAAATTGCCTTATAGTGACACTAACAGCCTATTCAGATATAAGCTCCGTAGCACTGGTTTTAGGAGGAAAAGGTATCTAAGAAGAAAAGTGATTGCCTCATTTTTGTTTGATTGCTTGTTTCATATTCTGTGTCTCTTCTTACACTATGTCCCTGTAAGAATGAAATGTTTGGTTAATCATCCATATCCTGTTAGCAGTATGAATGAGTTATTGAAGGAAACCCTGAACATGTAAAATGCCTGCTAATGGATGTGTATTCTACCAATTTCTCATTAGTACTGAAGCCTTTAATCAAGATGGCCAAAGGTTTTCTCAGTGCATGAGATTTTGAAATGATTGTAATTTTGATTTGAATAGTCATGTTTGCCTTAGGAAAGGATGTTAATTGCTGCTGTTGATGATAGTGTTTACAGCATTTATGTTCAGCCTGCAAATCAGATAGTGTTTGAGGAATATTTCAACAGGTGATTAGCTTCTGTGTTCTTACTTCAGTAGTAGCAGGTAGGCAAATTATTTTTGAACACTTAAGGCTTTTTAAAATATGGCCTTTCCTGCTTGTAAATTTTGCTTTTACATTTTTTTAGCAAGATAAAAATATCAGAACTGCTATATCAAATTGGCAGTTAGATTAGATTATTATCCAGGTTAGAGCAGAGAACAGGCAAGAGGGGCTAAACTGCTTATACCTGAAAGATGCACATTAGCATCTTGGTTGACCTGGGATGGGATTTGCAGGAAATGGGTTTTTTAACACAGTAGGAACAGAGTGTGGGGGCTAGACTTAGCTATGGCTTCCTTATTTATTGTATACTCAAAAGTAGTTAATGTAACTATACAGTATTTGGTATCGTATATACCCAAATTTGTAGGTTCCTTTTTAACAGATCTGCTTTGGGATATTACTTGAATTTAGCATCAAATTATCTCCCTCCAACCTGACTGGTGTCTGCCCACTATGAATATATCATTTGTTAAAAAAAATTCATTTGTAATAACACTAGTTCAGATTTAGATGGAGATGACTTACTGCGAAAGAGTTCAGCAGTTTTTTTAGTTTAGTAAAATCAAAAGACAGGGAGACAGGCATTATTTGGAAGGCGAAAGCATTTGGCTGTGCACAAGATGAGATTTTGGCGTAAAGTGCTTATTGCAAAGAAGACAGACTGGAAGGGGGAAAGGTTGATAGTTCATTATGTTGAGAACTTCCCAGCTCTGTTTTGGCTAGATGAGAAGGCTCTGGTTTTAGCTCTAAAAAGACTTTGAGTTAGGAAACTGATACTGACAAATTTGTTCTGTTTTCCATTAGACTGTGTTGTGCATACAGACTTATAGTGCTCACCTTAATTGAAATACTGATATGACTATAAAGTTGGAATAACAAAAATGTGATGTGATTCTTTGCGTCTTTACAATTAAATTTTCAAGGGATTTTGTACCATATGTTTTAAAAGAAATATTTATGATATGTATTTGGTTTTTGTGTTTCATTTTAATGCTGAATAAATACATAATAAAAAGATGTTATCAGACAAATTATCTGTTAAGGCCCAATTATTGTAACACCTTCTTTTACTTACATTTCTTTCTTTCAGCCAGGATGACTAATACTTCACCTTTTTCATTCATTAGTGATGGAGTTCTAGTCATATGGCTGACTTCACTGTGGCTAAAATGTTCTTCTCATAGTGGTACATACAATGTTAATGAAAAATCTTGGCTTTAGTAAACTTGAAGGTACTGTACAACTAATAGCATTCAGTAATGTTTGATATTTTTGTGATATTTTTGCTTTATAAGATTAATAGGTCAGTTCTAGGCAAGTTTGCTTAGAAGCAAATCTACTGAGTGCAATAACCTTTCCCCCACTGGTAAAAGAGTTATTTTTGTCCCACATTCATAACAATACTTTGGCTCGTTATAGATTTTGAGAAATGCTTATAGTGACATCAGATTTAATATTTAAAATGCTTAAGAGTGGGTTTCTTTCTTTCTGCAGGGTTTTTGTGAACAGAAGTCTAGCCATGGAAAAAATAAAGTGCTTTGGATTTGATATGGATTATACATTAGCCGGTGAGTGTGTATGAATGTGAATAATTAAGCCTAAGTGATAAAGCAAAAGAATAGACTGATACTCTCTGAAGTAGTAGGCAGTTTTCTTGTCTTGGATAATGAGGCAGCTGAGCAAATAAAAAGTGTGTAGGCTGCTATTGTGAAAATATTTACTGCATTTTTCCGTTTATAAAATGATGTGCTTCCCGCCTCCACTTTCTTGCAAAGAAAGAAATTTTGATTTAGAAAAGTGGGGGTGTGTGTGTGTTTTATACATGGGACGTCTTATACATGGAAAATTCGGTATTTAAAATCTGTCTCTTTAGTGAGGCTCAGTTTGATTTAATTGAGCTCCACTGATGCAGTTGATACCAGGTCCCTAAAAATGATCTTAATGCATTTCCTCCAAATTCTTCCTAATTACATTGTTGTTATTTAGGTGTGGCTGTGGACTTTCCTCCTATGTAGAACTGTTGTTTCTTATTTTCTTCTATTTAACGAATCCAAGATTGGTCTTCTTTCACTTGATGATGTCATCAAAATATTAATTCATTTTTCTTATTGTGTTAAGTACAGTATTACAGTATTGTACTAATTGTTTTCTCTATTTCTTTTCTGGCCACTTCTGTCTTTGCTCAGTACTAACATTTGCCTCATTTTTTTCTGTCTGTCAATTTGCTCACCTAATTTCAATCTGATTTTTAAGCAGTGTTCTATGTGCTGGTCATACATCTCCACCTTCAAGGATCTCCTCCCCACCTATATACTTTTTTTAAACTCTTCTATTTATTTTTCCTACTTACCCAGCATTTTTTAAAGCGAGGATTACTTCTGTATTATTTTGCTTGTTTGTATTTTCCTTTTCTGTCATTTATTGGAATGATTCCCCACCAGGTGCCAACTTGCTGTATGTGTTTTCATCATTGTTATCATCAGGAATTCTTAAAGATGTCCAATGTTGGGCCATTCAGATAGGAATTGCTTTCTTTACTTCATCCATTTCATGGCCCCTTTACTTGTGATGTCTCCTTTTAGATCACAGCTACGGTACTACATGGTGAATTTTACTTGTATCATGAATACTTTACTAAAAATGGATAGTAATTTACTATGGACGGATATATTCCCACCTACGTCTACTGGGGACAGAAAAGAAAATCAGGAGGCATTTCAGGGTGACAGCTAATTGCTTTAAGGTTATTTTTAGATCCCTCATTGCAGTTATATGTTGCTGTTTTGGCATCTCCCTTAGTCTGCACATATTTGCCGAATATATCATGAAAATTTTATTGCTAGTCTTACCCCATGGACCAGAGCACACCAGGCCCTCCTGTCTTCCACTGACCAAACGCCGGGAGGCAGTGCAAGACAGGAGGGCCTGGTGTGCTCTGGTCCATGGGGTCACTAAGAGTCGGACACGACTTAACCACTAAATAACAATATTGCTAGTCTGTTTAATTTGCATGAATTATACCAGACATGGTATTTAGATTTTCTGAGCACGGGACTAAGTTTACTTTGGCATAGTGTGTATATAGCAGTGGCCATGTGTTCCTGTCCACTTTGATCACACATACTAAAAATAATACAGGTCTTGCAAAATAAGTGTACATTTTGATGAAAGTGTAAAACCGTTCAATGCGTTCCAGTGGGCTGAATACCTGCTCGTCCAGCAAAGATCCTCCATACCGCGGCCATTTTTGGTTCCTGTAAAGCGAGGAATCCGTCCTAGAAAACAGTGGGGGGCCATTTTCTTCAGTCGGCGGCCATTTTGAACCCCGAAGATTAGCTGTTTGCTGAACGTCGTAAAGCGAAAATCGGTTCCCAAAGCAGGGAACCGATGATCGTTAAACGAAAAAAACCCATTTAAACCATCATTTTAAGATCGCAAAAACCTAATCGTATAGCAATTTCCTCCTTAAGTGAGGCAATCGTTAAGCAAGGCACGACTGTATAGTGATTTGCATGCCCTGCCCATGAATTAAGCAGTAGCATCTGAAAGCCTTCACTGAAATGTAAACCATATTTATTAAAACCACATGTAGTAAGTGGCTGGCCTACAATATGTACTCCTTCCCTTTCATTTGATCTTTCTCAGTTTTACTAGAGGAAACAAGAATTTATCTCTACAATAGCTACCTTTATAATACTTTATTTATTCAGTTTGAGAAGAATGTCTATTTATATTGTGTGTTCTGTAGCTCCATGCTGTTGACACTTCAAGAGATGACTGCAGTTATCCAAGGGAATTTTTTTTACTGAAAAGTACTGTAGTCACGGGATGTGGTGGCGCTGCGGGCTAAACCGCAGAAGCCTGTGCTGCAGGCTCAGAAGACCAAGCAGTTGTAAGATCGAATCCACACGACGAAGTGAGCTCCCGTCGCTTGTCCCAGCTCCCGCCAACCTAGTGGTTCGAAAGCATGCAAATGCAAGTAGATAAATAGGGACCCCCTCGGTGGGAAGGTAACAGCGTTCCGTGTCTAAGTCGCACTGGCCATGTGACCACGGAAGATTGTCTTCGGACAAAAACGCTGGCTCTATGGCTTGGAAACGGGGATGAGCACCGCCCCCTAGAGTCGAACACGACTGTACAAAAATTGTCAAGGGGAACCTTTACCTTTACCTTTACTGTAGTCACTGTTTTCTTCTGATAGCATTTCTCTGATAGCAGCAGCTTCCCCCACCCCATTGTTGTTTAAAATACAATTACTGCAGTGCTGACTTAAGTTATCAACATGAATGATCCATAATGTAGTCTATAACAGAAACCTTGTTTCAAACGTCTTCCTAATCACTGCCTACTCTAAATTTCGTAGGGTAAGAAAAAGAAATGCTTAAGAGTAAATAACAAAGAATATTGTATAAAATGCAAACTATCTGGGACCCTCTACATTATAGCTGTTTATATTCATTGGTTTCTATATGGTTTTTATGTTGCATTGCCATGTGCCTTATTAATCCTTGAAGATTTCAGCCTTCTGTGGGAAGATGGTCAAGTTAGATATATTATGAAGTAGTATGCAGTTCCAACCCACACATGTCTTTGATGTTATTTTTTACAAAATGTACCTGCAATCAGCAGAGAAAGATGTATGTATGTTGAAGGTGGGAGAGCTTAAGTATTTTCCCTTGATGTTGCCCTCTTTTGATTTGGTCCACAGTTTCAAGTAGAGAAAATGGGTGTGAGGGAAGTTTCAAGTAGAGTTTTCTATTGTCCAGCTGAGATTGCAACTGTCTAGCTGTTTTTCAACATAAACAAAGCCCCCACTAGGAATGGGCAAGTCTTTCAATTTTGCTTTTTTCCACATTCAGATTTATGAGTTGGATAAATTCTGAATAGAAGTGAACTGCAACAAACTTATCATTCATTTGTATCCTTCATACCTGTAATCTAGGATTATTTCATATTTTTTTCTTATGTCTGTTTGCTTATAAGTGATTGGCAGAAAGATGCAGAGTTGGCTGACAGTGTAATAGATAATATTTCTATAACATGCTTCTATGTTTAGAAGTCTTGTTGAAAGTCATAATCACAGTGTGTGTGATTATACTTGAGTAATTTTATTTGGAAAAGTCATTGCGTGTAAAATGCTCTATTCTATTAGATGGGAACTTTTGCAGAAAGATTTAATTTAGTCAGATGCTGTAGCAGCACATCATTGGTATGCTAATATTACTAGCTACATGTGAGTTAATATATGATTATATTACATTTTCTACCAGAATATTTCAATTGCTTTATCATTTATTACATTTATTAGTCTGTATCATATGGGCAGTGATTTTGTAAAGCAAATATTTATATCATATAGTAGTAATGTCGGAGAGCTGTGTTGCTACAAAGATCAGAGTAAGTTGTTCGTTTCTGTTTGCTATAGAACTCGGGTGCAAGAGTTGACATGTTGCTTATAGAAAGGAAAATGCATTGAAATACAGATAGACAGGGCAACATGCCTACATTTATACATTATTTGTATTTTGTTGTTCTGTATATATCAAGGAACCACATTAAACTCATTAGAACTTATTTTTGAATAAATATGCATAGAATTCTGCTGTGTGTATTACGTACTATCAGGTTACATCCAACTTATGGTGGCCCTAAGTGGGGATTAGAACCTAGGTCTGGGTCCTAGTCCACTGTACCACACTGAGTTCCTGAATTGTCTATATGCCTACTGAAGTAGGAATCTAGTGTGCTTCTTTCTCTTTGAGCCACAAGTTCATGGATGGTTTTGGATAGGCATTATTTCAAATTTCTGATCAAATGTCAGTTCAATGGGTTTATCACACTCTTACTGTATGTGTGCTATCCTGAGCTGCACTGAAGAAGAGAATGATAGAGCCAGTGTAATCTAGTGATTAGAGTACTGGGCTGGGAGTTGGGGCTTCAGGTTCTCTTCCCCAGTGAGCCATGAAATTCACTGTGCAGTGTTAGTCTGCTCACTTTCTCTAAACTTGACTTGCTACTCAGAGTTGTTGTGAGGTTGAAGTGGGGGGAAGGAGAACTATCTGTGCTATCTTGAGCTCACTGAAGAAAAAGCAGGGTCTAGTTGAACAATTCCATAGTCATTTTTAAAAATACTAGAACTGTTACTTAACTAGCTATTACAGGGATGTCTGCATATCCTTGGAGAGAATACTGTCATTAGCCAAAAATATTGACACTCAGGGGCTTATTTATTTGGAATTACTTGCTACAGTACTTATTTCTTCTGTTTGCATGTTATGATAAATGCATGTGTAAGCTTGCAAAAAGGCTTTTCAGGACATGTAAGTACATAGAAGTTAAGTACTTTTTACACATTAATTCCAAGTGCTTCATGTGTTACTTGTGTAACCATACACACTCTTAATTCTCAAAGCAAACACATGAGAAGAGGCATAGTATAGTTGATTTAAATATGCTCCCCTCAGAAACATGTTCAAGTGAAAGGTATAAGGTAAAATACAGTGGTGCCTCTCTTAGTGACGTTAATCCATTCCAGGAAAAATGTTGCTAAGCGATTTTAAAAAGCCCA